AGGGCCGCCAATACAGGCCAACAATTTGCCACTAAGGGCCCCCAATACAGGCCATCCAATCGCCAATACAGGCCAACCAAGATGATATGCCATGAAATGCAACTACTATGGACTACAACATAACCGCAACAACTAATTCAACAAGGCATTTAGGCCTACAACCAATTCGTCCATAACAAAGGTATACCCATCATCATATAACTACAACTTATCAACATAATCAAAGGAGAATATTATAATAACATTGTCTCAACAATAACATAACAACTTCATATGCATCAAGTACTCATCATCTCAATCTGTTCATGTAAGGGAACAATAACAACATACTTTCGACAATTAAGAATTCAGCACATTATCGTAAGAACAACATTACAACTTTTACTCACTAAATTAATTATAGTTTCTGAAAAAGTTCGTTAACTACGGGGCAACTAATCTTGCTCCATTAAGGGCAACCATACAGCATCGTGCAAAACTAACGATATAACACCTTCATTCTTACACAGACAAACCTCGTCCCTAACATTTATCGATTAACGGAAACTATATCTATGATTCAATTCCCTACCTGAATTCGATCAAGTAAGAGAATAATGACAACCTTTTCTCAACAAATGGGAACTTAGCGTGTGTCGGTGTCGATTCCCAACGTTACTACATAGAACTAATGACATAAACACTAATTCAGGCGTAGACAAACATTAACCCTTAATATTTCTCAACCTACGGGAACATTTACCCTTAATATTGCTCAACCTACGGGAACATTACTACAGGAACATTACTACGGGAACATTACTACGGGAACATTGCTACGGGAACATCACTACGGGAACATCACTACGGGAATATTACTACGGGAACATCACTACGGGAATATTACTACGGGAACATCACTACGGGAACATCACTACGGAAACATCACTACGGGAATATTACTACGGGAACATTAACCCTATGATTCAATTCCCTACATGAAATCGATCATACCCACAGTTATAGAATTGAACCCCACCCTTACCTTAGAATTAAGGTCAACTCTACGCTTTCCGGTTCTGGTTCTGTTCTACGGTAACTCTCCTGCAACTATCTTCCAATTTCACCAATGGACAATTCTTCTCTTCTTACTTTCTCTACAGCCACGTCCTTTTTCCTCTTTCCTCAACCTTTCTCCTTAATTTTGGTTTTTTGAGAAGTTTATCGTGTTTTTGCTCTTCCTCCCACAACTTCTCTAATAACTCCCTAATTCCCATTATTCCATCCACTAATAATAATAATAATAATAATAATAATTATTATTATTATTATTATTATTATTATTATTATTATTATTATTATTATTAAATTATCATCATTATTAATCATATTATATTATTATCAAACTCTATATTTTATTACAGGGTTTTCCTATACTTTAAGGACATCCACCCACGTTCTCAGACACACTCCCACATAAAGGTGCACCAACAATTCATAAATAATTTAATTTAAAATGAACGGGCGTTACAGTCAAGGTTTCAATGGGGAAGTAAACGTTTCTTAAGGATACGTTATGTGGAGTCTTGAAACTCCTATTTCTACATTGAAATTGTTAATTGAAATTAGGGTTAAGTTAGGGATTCCACAGCGGGAAACCCTAAAACAGAGTACGACGACTCTTTGACCTAATGCTTGGGTAAAGGGCATTCTTGTCCACAGCAGGACACCTAGGCTATTAGGTTTTTAACCATTCAAAGGGTAAGGCTATTGACTTGGCGGTCAAACTGTTAGACCTAATCCTTCGGACGGACGCTAACGGTAAATGATGCAAATGGCGAAGAGTTATCATATGGCAGAATTAAAGTACGAGAATAAGGAAAGCGGTAAAGCAAAAAGCATCGCGACGATCACTCGTGTAAATTACAAATCCCAAAAATGCAAGAATAAATAATTGCGACGATGGCCTCACATTATTACAACCGGAAGATAAAAGACAAGAATAATAATTGCGACGATGGCCTCGCATAATTACAAACTGAAAAATTGAAATATGCATAAAAGTCATGGATTAGTAAGCAGAAATGAATAGGAAATAACGATAGTCAGACGAAACTTGAACGGGAAAACCAGGAACTCTTTATTTTTGATTTTTATTTAAAAGAGAACAATTACATTGAATTTTATAAAAATGGCTTGATGTTAGTCTTGATAAAATAGATTCTAATCCTAAGTTAGTAAGATGTGAATTTTAAACTAATAAAAAATTTTTTATTTTACAAATATTAAGGTTCTTAAAAGAATGTTTTAATTTTTATGTCTTATTGAAGAAAAGAAATGTTTTAGATTTTATGTTTAATTAAAGAAAAATTTGTTTTAATTAAGAAAAATTGTTTTAATTTTGTTTTAATTCCTAAAAAATGTTTTAATTTTGTTTGATTAAGAAAATTGTTTTAAAAAGAAAAAAGGGTCCTTAAAAAAAAGAAATGGTTTTTAAAAAAAAAGGTTTTAATTTTTGGTTTGGGTTTATTAAATAAAAAAAAGAAGTGTTAGTAATAAATTAAAATATAAAGTAATTACTAATTATAATAAAATAAAATCAAAGATCATAATAAGATCATATAATAATATAATAAAAAAAGAAAAAGAAAAAAGAAATAGAAATAAAAATAGTGGGGATAGGCGAAACATTTGCTGAGAGGTTTTAGGTTTTCTTTGAGAAACCTTCCTCCTTCTTCTCCCTGCATGCGTCGGCGGCCATGTTTGCTCTGCGGAGCTTTTTTCGTTTCCGTTTTCCGCTTGCATGTTCAATATTCTTCTTTCTTCTTCTTCACTATCACCTGAAACATACACAACAAGAAAAACAAATGGTAACAAAAGCAACCGAGTGGCTCACCCTGTTCGCTCCGAGTTTGAACCTACACGAGAGGCTTAATCTATCCGCGATCTGATGATGATGGTGTCGTCGATCTGGTTATGGAGGCGGTGATGATGGCGAGGGCGAAACTCTCCCTCTGAGCTTCAAGGATCCGTCCGTTGATGATACGGTTCCGGTGATCCTTCCCTTGGGTTTTCGATTGAACGTGATGCTGATGAGCTTTCCGGCCGTCGCGAAAGCTTCTCTGCTCTTCTTCTTTTGCTTTTGACGGTGATAATGATGAAGCTTCTGCTTCTGAATCCGTTCGCCGTTTTGGATTCGCTTCTAGGGTTCTTCCTTTTGAACTTTGAATGATGAACTTATATATCCTTTTTAGATTGTGGGTTGGATTGTTCTTATGATTTTTCAGGAGTTTTAACGGTGGGATTGCTGCTATTTTTCTGGAGAAGTTGTCACTGAGCTTTGAATTGATTGTTTCATTGGAGATTTTTCAGGAAGGAAGGGTTTGATTCGCGACTTTGTGATTTTCTGGAAAAATGCATTAAGGCCATGTTTGGCAAAACCACTTTTCTGGAAAAATCACTTTTTCAAATAAGTGCTTTTTTCAATAAGCACTTTTTCAAGATAATCACTTTTTTTTGGCAAACCATCTTTTTTCAAGAGCACCTTTTATCTCTCTCTCTCTCTCTCTCTCTCTCTCTCTTTGTTGCCTGGAAATAAGAACGGATATTACCGGTTTAGCCGAAATGTCGAAAATGAGTCGGGAGTTGGTTTCGGAGCCATCTGTTACCCTCCCGACATATCCGATGATGACATTGGCTCTGAGGGTGTCGGAAAATAATCTAACCGATAAAATTGTTCATTTTGTTGACTTTACAGGTTTGAAGAACTAATCGGAAAAGTCGGAGAATCGGGAAGAAGACTCTTAGGACAAATAGAAATTTTTTAGGCATTTTAGGATTTTTTCGAAAAAAAAATGTAATTTTATTTATTTATTTTTGGATATTGTAAAAATGTAAATTAATTTTGATATAAATGAAATGCAAATATTATTATTATTTATTTTTTCTGATATATAAAAAAGTGAAATGAAAACATAAATAAAATAAAGTAATTTTATTATTTTTCTGATATATATAAAAAAAAAAAGAACTGAAAACGTTTAAAAATGAAGTAAAATTATTTTTTTATTTTTCTTTTAATATTTAAAATGTAAATAAAACATTATAACAAAAATGAAATAAAATTATATTTTTATTTTTATTTTGATATATGAAAATGAAATGAAAAAAACATTATAAAAAATGAGAAAATCTTTATGTCTTTTGATATGAAAAATGAAAATGAAAAAACATTATAAAAATGTCTATTTTTTATTCTAAAATGAAATGAAATGACCAACAAAATTCTATTTTCAAAAATTCATCCAATTCTCCGGTTAATCTCGTCTCCGATACAACTTTCGGCTAATCCTTCCAACAATTTAAATGAACAACCTTATCAGAATAAACTCCGTCCGTTCGATTAAACTCAACTGAACCTATTCTTCCGACTAACTTTATCCCAATACATTGAATTGGCTTTAATTCAACCAGCTCAAATCCTCCACGATTACACTCTTCCAACTCAGATCACAACAATATATTCAAACAGTTCGGATCCCCTGACTACAACTCAGATTCACAAATTGATAGCCTGCTGCAAACAAATGACCATTTTACCCTTTACCGCTTGAATTGCGTACAAGGAGATTTTTCCTGCAAGATCAACCAACTACATAAACCTGTTAGTGACTGGTTAAATGCAATGGAATGCGAGATGATTCGACTCATCTTAGGGCAAAATTTGGGGTATTACATTTTCCGTCTAAAAATCGTGTGTTATTTCCAGAGATACGTTTTCGGAACAAGTATAAACTCATCCGAAAATGCATTTTTGGTATCAGTATGTGTTTATTTTTCCAGCTCTATTTATAGAATTATCACTTATTTACTATTTTGTGGTCATTATTTTCATTAGATATGGTGCACCCTAATTTTTGCCCAAAAATATTGTGTCTCCGAATGTCAAAGGTGTTGTTGTGAAGGCGGTAGATGTCGGCAACCAATTTAGCAATAAGCAAGAGTTTGAATTTCATGATCACATGCTTCAATGGATTCGTACGGAGACCTCCAAACTGGGATTTGATGTGGTAATTGGAAGGTCCAATAATGATTCGGATAGAAGATATGCTTTTCTGACAATGACGTGCGAAACAAGTGGGAAATATAAACCTCCTCTCCAGAATTTTAAACAAGACGACACTGGTTCAAGAAAATGTGAGTGTTCATTTAAGTTGTGTGGTTATATGTTGGAAAATAATAAGTGGATATTTAATGTCATGTGTGGTTTTTATAACCATGACTTGTGTGAAAAGTTAGCTGACCATCCAATTATGTGTCACCTCTTGTCGGAAGAAAAATAAGGTGGTTCTGACATGACATTGAATTCCGAAAAATATACTTGCAACTTTGAAATGTAAGAGACCTTAAAATATTTCAAATATCAAGCAAGTGTACAATATTTGATACCAAACTAACAAGGCACTGGGGGGTAGAATTGAAATGCGATAACTCTTGAACTGTTCGATGATAACAATTATGTGTCTAGGTACCGAACTTACGACGACGGAGTAACCGTTAGAGATATATTTAGAACTCATCCTAATTCTATAAAGTTGTTCAACGTGTTTCCTTCTGTTCTCATAATTGATTCAACGTACAAGACCAACAAGTACAGACTTTCATTATTGGAGATTGTTGGTGTTACCTCTATTGAGAAGACTAGTTTTATCGGATTTGCATTTCTAGAGAGCGAGAAAAATGACAATGCTACCTGGGTCTTAGAGGTGTGTCAGGCAATGTTGAAGGACCAAGAAGAGATGCCTAAAATGATCGTTATCGACCGCGATACCGCTTTGATGAATTTGGTTGACAAATGTTTTGATTCCTTTTGATTTTCTATTTAGCTGGACAAATAAGTGTATGTAATTTTATTTCAATATTAATGAAGTGTAATATATTTAATTTTCATATAATTTAATGCATTTTTTATCTTTGCTGAAACATTTGTTTATTTTCCAAACAAAGTCATCATGTAGGTTATGTTTTCAAAGGTTCTGTTTTCTGTCTATTCAAGAGAGGTTCTAGAGATGTATCTCTGAAATAAGACAATAGGACGGTTTCGGAAACGCATCTCCGAAACCAGCACTGATGCTTGATAGATCTTTTGTGGTCCACATTTGTCTAGAACTTTTATAAATTTAGGGACTCTTGTTTTTTATTTCACACAAACTAAAAATGTCTCAAATGTCACAAATAAACATAATCTGATATGTCGCAAATGTCTCCTTCTCCAGCACGATACCCGGACGAAAGTTTAAGCTCGCCAAGTACACATTTCTTGTATATCTGAAATATGACATCCTTAATCTCCTATCTCACAGAGACAATCGAAAAATTGTGAAGATCGAGTACCATTCACCATTGATTGACAATGGAGAAAAGATTGAGTTCGTCAACTTTGAGCTCAAGATGGATGTAGATGTAATGACTATGTGAAATACATTTTTCTGTTTTGAAATAAAAGTTCCGCTCGAGTTGGAATAGACGATTTCAAGATCGGTCGAATATATTGTGAAGATGTTGAAGCGTCCACTTGGATATTGAAGTGCAATGTTGCATTTTATGTTGAAATCATCTATGTAATGCTTATTTTATGTTATAAATGTTAACTTTATTTGTCAAATTACAAATTTTTGGTTTTTGTCTATGTATTGTTGTGCATACGTTACAAAGATGCATATACGGACAACGTTCGTAAATAAATCTCTAAAATAAACAAACTCGAATATTAGAGTGTCACTCAGAATTGACATAAGTTGTGTGTTTTTGGAATGTGTCCAAAGATGCATCTCCAGAATCTGAGGAACGTTTTATTATTTTCTCGTGGTGTGTAAGTAACATAAAGGTGCTTAGAAATAATTATAAACACTTATACACCACAAACCCAAGTTATACTTAAAATCATGAAGAAAAAACTATTTAAGTGATTGAAAATTAGAGCTCTCAAAATGGGTTAGCCCATATATGCCGGCCTACCAGGCCCAAAAAATCCTAGAGCTTAGGCCTTAAAATTAGAGTCCATATTTTTCAGGACTTTTATAGTCCAACCCTAAAAAGCTCGTTACTCACCCATATGGATCGTGGGTAAGTCCATTAGACCCGTATCGCTATAAATTTTAAAAAATTATATTAATACTTATATTGTCTTAATCTAAAATAATACATTGATTTTTCTCACCTCACTAAATTTTATCTTTATTTCATTCAATCTTTATCTTTTAAATATTATATATTAATATAATCATTTTTTTCTCGTATTTTATTAGTTTCTTTTATGTATAATATTCTAGTATTATTTTATACAATTTAGATATTTATTGTGTTTAAAAACACATTATAATATTTATAAAAGAAAATATAATACTTAAAAATGTATTATGTTTAAAATAATATAATTTTTTATCTTATTAATAATAAATATTATAGCATTTTTATTTATTTTTTTATTTTAAAAAAATTGTCTAGGATCAGATAGCCCGAAACCCATTTAAAATCGGATAGTAATTTTTAAGCCCATATTAAAAAAAAAAATTTTTTAGTCCAACCTTAAAAAGTCTGAGTCCACCAAAACTGACCGTTTAAAATCGGATAGTCCATTTTATCCATATTGAAAATGATTACTTAGTGATCCAACACTGTAACAATCAAATACTAATTAGTAATTACCTAGTCACGCCTATTTTGATAATGCACTTGAAGTGTAGGCTTCCCTTAATTCTAAGTAATTGAATATTTCAACATAACGACAAAAATTCTAACTAAATTTCACATGCTTATCATTATAGAAAGGATGAAACATTCATATAAGATAAATAAAACAATACTTAAAAGAAAACCTCCAATATTACAATGTATTGAGACTTTCACTTACAACATTCTCATGAAACCAGTTCACAACATTACAGACATGTACATTCTTCACATTTCGACCGAACAAAGCCACAATTACAAACATGATAGTTCTTTGTTTCCCTTCTATACAAACTTTTTTCCATAAATCATAAATTTTTTTCAAGGTACATATACATGGTAATATTTCTCAAAAGACCATAACAGCCTCAACAAAAGACCAGAAAAATATCCTGCACAATCTGCATGCATGCTGCTGTAGAATTTACCATCCAGCAATATACCTCGAGCTCCGATTTATTCTTTTCCTCTGGTATTATAACACAATTGTTCTCTACACATCTTGGTTTCTGCGTTTTTTAATGGATTCCGCCCTTAATCTTTATACACCATTTTTGTTTTGTTTTATGAATCAACTTTGTACATCTTTAAGATCACCTATGCAATAGTTAGCACTCCTAGACCATATGTAATGTGGCTAGGAACAATAGTATATCTAACAAATGGTCAATCTTTTTCCAGATTTTCATCTGAATTGCCCTTCGGGCTCTCCAACATATCACCCGAGTAAGATCCGTCTGGTTGACGAATACATATATTCAAGTTGCTGGATAGAAAGTGTTCCTGGACAGTACAATAACAGACAGAAACTGTCAGACAATCGAAGGACAGGACTCGGACCAATGTGTCAGGACAGAAATCTTGACATTTCAAGCAATTGAAGCGAATATATTATTACCTGGTCACTAGTATCTTGGCCTTCTGAATGAAAAAGGATTGGCCGACATCGCTTATCCTCATTCATTAAGCTTGAGTTCTGAAAATGCATCACAAGTGCAGCCTTTCCTTGAATCCGTGCATATGCCAGTGAAGCAACTTTTTCGCTATTAAACTTTTCCCATTTCTTCCCGTTAAAAGCCTGCATAAATTTTAACGATAGTTCTTAAAATTTAACCACGCATATTATACTTCTCGATACCAAAACAAACCTCAGGCATGCAAGGGTATAGAAATTAAACCTTATAGAAGGCAACAATGTGTGAAGGAGAGACCATATTGATGAAAGCGTAACCGACATTACACTTATTCTGCAAGCAAAAACCGACATTAATAAATAAGTCATCCTGGAAAGTGGAAATAGAACCAAAACCATAAATCTCTTATTGAAAAATATATATAGGATGGGCATACTTTGAAGTCAATTGGCAAGTAGAGGAAGTCGTAAGTCCCCTGGTGATTCTCATCAATTGCGGCGAGCAGCATCTTAGAAGTGTACCTTAAAAGCAATCGCAACAGATAAAAGTCGTCAAGAAATTCATCTCAAGGATTTTCATGGCATCATTAGGATATTTGTTGAGTTATTGTTCTTACTTGTTGGGAATGTTTTTAATCATTAGAGTAGTCCTTGTATCTTCACCACTGATGATTTTGTCAAGATCAAGCTGGTACAGCTTCTTACTTTCGATTTGGTTCACGTTATTATCAGGTCGCCGATTTCGTCCACGTTCAGCAAAACCCTCGATGCTAGATAGTCCAGGTCCAGCATACAAACTATTTCCAATGAACAAGGAACCCTGACCAGGTACGGACATCATTCCGAAATTAGGCGAACCAATGTCAGTGGAAGTTGCTGAAAGGCCAATACCATGTCCAACAGATGGACGAGAACCCATGTTCATCATAAAATTTCCGTCACCGTGATTTAAATTACCAAATCCAATGGAGCTCATGAGAGAGGCATCCGGTGATTCTGGAAAGTATCTGAAATTTCGTTCAAGAGGAAGGCCAGACGGAGCAGATCCTACATGGTGATGGTGATGCTGGGAGCCGAGAAAAGGATTGCGATGACCTGTGTACGGGAAACCCTGCCTTTGGCCACTAGATGTAAATGGATGGCCAAGGGAAGATGGAGACCAGGCAGATGTGTTTGAATTCTCCGAGTAAGGAGTCGGGCTTCCCCAAAGAAATTGGGGACCAGACAATGTTCCAACACTCGATGAATTCGAATTTGATTCACCAAAAGCAGATATAGTCCTAGGACTTGCATTTACATTTTTTTCAGGAAAGGAGATAGAATGTTGAAAAGCTACTCCATGTGTTGATCCTCCAGAGCTGGCAAACATCTGATTTGAAACTCTTCCAGGGTCCTTGCCGATTGGCGCAATTTTGGGAGAGGTTGATGCGTGCGGGGAAAGAATTGCAGCCAATCCGGACAAATGGTTGATATTAATCGGGCTGGCATGGCCCAAACCAGGGGACTTACTGTAAGAACCTAACGGATTAGGTTCAACCGGACTACTAAATTGCGCCCAGCTACCTGGTGAAAAAATTACATAGTAAATTTACCTTGTTAACAAAGATACCTTTCTTCAATGATATAATACGAGAAAACAAAATCGGATTAGGAGATATTTACCAGGAGGAGAACTGGCTATAGGTGAACCTACTTGAG